AAAAAAAATCGAACTACGATTGCATAATGGAAGACAACTGACAATAATTAAATAATGCAATCGTCGACCATAAATGAAACTCAATATGATTCAATCTCCGTCGGGGTGAAAAGTTCGGAGATAAACCAATAATATACTCATTTTTACGCTCTTAGTGAATTTTACAAGAGACATTGAAATATTCGACCAAAAATATTGGATAAGACGTAAAATTCCACGGAAACTGATAAAACAGATGTTACATTCAATAAAAATCTTTCAAGTATTTTGATAAAATGCTCGAAAATTGGTGATGAAAAAAAAACAAAGAAAAACATTGTCAATGCACGAATAATATAATATGGAATAACAGGAAAACACAACATATGCACGAATCGTTCGATAGAAACTAAGCGACGATCCAATTCAATTCGCATCATTAAAAATATTCGCCTGATTCAGGAATGAAACATAACAACAACGTTCGCAAAAGCACAGATCACAAATTATTCGAACAATTCAATGAAGAGAATTAAACGCATGAGGTATTTATGTACAGAAACGGGGAAGAAAGTCAGATATGTCGCCGCTGTATGACGCATGGATAATCGTTGGCTAAATTTTCACAATTTTTATCTCTCACTCTCGCAAATTTCGACGATTGATTGCGAAGAAAATATTTGGTCGATTCTACTTTCAGCACATTTAACTTCGGATTTTCGGCGGTCTAAACGCTGGATAGCCATCGGAACTGTTATAATATGCATTTTAATAGGTACATAAAGAGTGCGATGAGATTTAGAACAAACTGAATAAATGACTGCATCGAGAGTAGCACTGTCTCATCATTTGCCGCAAGTCAAAATCATCATCAATGTGATATTCGAATTCTTCTCATCACATTTCACCTTATTAACCATGCGTTTGGTCGTCTTCAACAAAATCATAAGCTTGTTCCTTTGTTACAACATCGATGTGCGATACCTGAAACATTACGGCATCAGCAAATAAACTCTATATGATCATTCTAGTAGATCTTCAGCAACACCAACAAATCTCCCAATAACCAACAGTGAATTAACTAAATGTAAAGCACAAGGTATCTTAAAATTCGGTTTCTGAGAATTCAAATATTGAATACCAAATTTCAAAAAAGCATCAAGCAAACAAACCTTATTGCGGAAGCGCACACCGAAGTATTTTTCGGCTGTTCCCAACAGTTCAGCGCGGAATGTTGTCGTAATAAACTGTGCGTTTTCGGACAGTTCATGAATCATATCTGCAAATATAGTCTCAACTTTTAGATGGTAACACGAAAAAGCACTATAACAATTCAATTATTCAGTCAAATTACAATTATTCCAAAAGGAACATCACAAGAATCACTCTAACAAAAAAAGAATTAAACAAATGGTCACTTGAAAATAAGATACAAAAGAAAAAATGAAATCAGAAAGTTACCTGCGACAGCTTTTCGATGTTGGGCATCAAGCGCTGCGTCAATTTCGTCAAAAAGATAGAAGGGTGCCGGGTCACATTTTTGTATCGCGAATATTAACGCCAAAGCCACCAGACTCTTCTGACCGCCCGATAACTGTTGCATTTCACGCGTTTCCGTAGTACCAGTGAATGAGACCTCAAATCCAAATCGCAATTTATATCAAAGTGTTTGAGTCAAGGAATATAACTCACTTTAAATAAAGGAACCATTCAGAATGAAACGGCAAACTTTTTCAAAAAAAATTATCTTCGACTATAACAAGATCATCAATACAAATGAAACAGCTTTGCTCCTAACCTTAATACCGACTCCAGTGAATGTTTCGATGGGTGGTAAATTGGGTCGATCGCCGCTCGGCTCGGAATCTTCATCCTGAAATGCTCCAACCTATTCAATCGCTCTCGACAAACCAAAAATATCTCTTTTTAAAACGATGATGAATTTTCAAAAAAGTTCTGTGGAACCGGTGCGATGCTCTGAAAGTAATAAGAGATGAACGAAACAAGAGAATTTCACCACCACTCACATGACTGATTCGCATAACAAGATTGCCATATCCACCCGGGACGAGTTTCTGGAAAACAGTTTGGAAATTCTTCGACACTTGTTTGAACGTCAACTGGATAGCTTCGTATTTTCGATGATCCAACACTGTCACTAAATCGTTGATTGACTGAAAGATTCGCTCATCAGTTAATCTTACAAATACTATCGTAGATGCATGCCAATTTCATGAAATCGTTTCAAAATATATTCCTTCACCTGCTTCGTATGAATACATATACACTGATAACATGAAACAATTACAATTATAATAATCATCAATAAATGAGAATAATAATAAAAACAACAATCAAAAAATTAAGAATAACAACATCTAATATTCCCCTTAATCAACAATAATTTAAGCGAATAATGACAGTGAAAAAAACCTTCAGATTCGCTTTATGTTCATCCATTCGCTTCGTGAGATCTTCTTTTCTGCTGCTCGCTTGAACGTATTGATCCAACGCCTTTTTATTGACATTCTCATATTTCTTCAATTGCTCCAATGCTTCACTCAGTTTCTTGTCCAACTGTTTTAGTGAATAACTTTCGTAAGTTTTCGATTCCATCGGAAGTGAGCCTAGCTCACGAATCTGAATCAGTACAATTATCAAATATCGACTTACCTCAGAAAGCCTTGAAAAAGAGCTTGCAGTCTTAAATCATTTCCTGACATCTTCAATTAGAAGATGTCAGAAAACGATTGAATATCACGAATTTAAACAAAAACGACAAATGAAAACCTTTTTCATGCTTTCCTCTCGTTTCGCTTGCATTGCCGACTGTTTTGTACAGATCAAGTCAGCCTGTTTCGAGAATTCTGCTACTTGAGCCTCGAGATCTTTCTGCTGCTCTTGACAATCTTCCAGCTCTCTGGTCAACTTCTCTTGACTTTCTTCGTATTCGATCAAATACTCTTCCAAATCTGCAATACTTTATACTGAACAATAATCAAACCCAAGAATGCTCATTGGAAAGCGAAATTTCTCGAATTCATAAAAAATTTCTACCTATTAACCAGTAAAGGATTCACAACTCACCCGCTAGTCTCGTCATAATTTCCGAAAGACGATGATTAACTGACTTCAGTTCAGCCATCTCCGTCTGCAGACTATTCCGCTTCTCATCGACAGTTATATCTTGAATTTTCTGCAATCCAATAAATGTTTAACACACAATAAATACACAAAATCATTCTTCAAATACTAATAATCGGTTCATTTGAACAGAAATTTCACATTGAAATAAGAGAATACACATTGAAATAAACAAAAACTTACCGCTTGTAGGCTTTCTCGTTTTCGCAACAGATTTGTCGACAGTTGATTTTCCAATCGATGTTTGATAGACTCTAGTCTGGCACGTTCTTTGGCCACGTCTTCCAGCCGAAGTTTCTTCTCCTTTACTTCGGCCTGAAAGATATCATCTCTCCATACCAAGTACACAAATAATGCATTTACGCCACTACTTCACATCGAATTCTCATCAAACTCAAACATAAATCCAACGAATACAATCCAAAACGTTCAGCTAATTATCTCAAAAATTCACCCACCTGTAAATCATTTAGCATTGTTTGCTCTTCAGCCGATATCGACGATAGCAAAGGTGTTCCAATTTGTCTTTGTAGATTCTCTTTATTCGCTTGCATTTCGCGAATGCGATTCTTTAACGTTACACACTGTGCGACCTGAAAGGAACGTTCACATTCTATTCCACTTCTTCCAATAATTTCATTATTTCACTTGAAAAATATCTTTTCTTAAACACTACCTCACTAAAACAAGCGAATTTTATAATTCATACACTAAAAATATTCTCACTCATACGTAATGAGAAAATCTAAATATGTACGATATTCATACATTTTCATACGAAATGTCATCCTCTAGCATGTATAAAAACAAACCTTCGGCTCTCTACTCTTCAAACTTTGCTGCAATTGTTGCGATAAGTAGCGTTTCTTTTCAGCAGCAATGTTGTGTTCATTCCTGAAAAAAAANCCTTTCTCAAAATAATTTCTATTTCATGAGATATGCTCCAGCAAAATAACTTCTTCTCAAGAAATATTCTTTAATTCCCAACAAAATGATGGAACCTCCGAAAACAACGGATGAAAAAATTAGAAAATACACATACCTGAGAGCAGATACTTCTCGCTCAAGACTGTCGCCTTCCATTCGAAGTTTTTCCACTTCGGCCGTTTTCTCATTATTCTTTCGGATTGCATTATCCAACGATTCCTTCAAAATGCAATTATTTAAAAATAACCTTTCGAACCAAACACCCCGAATCCCAACTCCATCGAAAAATCCCAATTATCAACCTCAATATCTTGTTTCTGCTCGAGAAGTTTCCTTACGGTTGACTGTAACTCCAAACGCGATCGCTTCACATCCAAATAACCACCAGTCATTGCGCCACGTCTACTTACTTGATCACCTAAAATTCAAATACTTCAATCTCAAATCCTCCATCTTTCCTCATCATAACCATTTGATTTCTACCGAATCTAAGCTTTTCGGCTTCGAAAATATTGAATCTCACAATATCATTTCACTTATTCAATTCACATTCCCAATCAAATATCATTGAGGAATGTGAAACTGAAAATTCATTGCAATCAATCAAAGCAAATACCAGTGAAACAAACGAATACATCGATAATCTAAAACAACGTTGCCTATCGCTTCTGTACAGAACACTAACTAAACAAATAATTCAACAAAACATTTCGAATCGACAAAAGATCAACTCACCATCGAACGTAACACAGTCAAAACCCTCATTCCTGGCTATACGATTTCCGGCTTCCATATTTCGCACAATCGCTGTGCCACCAAAAACGTGTCTAAAGACCACGTCGTACATTTCTTGGTACTGCAGTGAGTCAATCAACGGGCGCCCTTCCTAAAAAGCATTTGCTGTATAGCGAATTTACCGAAACGCCGTATTGTATACACTGAACCCGTCTATATTATCTGTAATCATTCGAAAACGAAACGAAATTAAAACTTTTAAGCAAAGCATCTAAAAGCCAAAAAAACTCACCGAATCAACGGTCTCTTTCCTTGCCTTAGCGATCAGTCGATTTAGCGGGAAGAAGTTCACTTCACCCATCATCTTTTGACTATTTACCTGAGAAAAAACTCCAGGTTTCAAACAGCAAAAAACATTACGAAAGATAAAGACATGTAAATATAAAACTTCGCTGACAATAAACGACCTCAACTCAATAATACAATCCAAAAAATTTATGTCTGTGTGAGAAATGCGACACGCTAACCTCTTTCAAGATTTTCATCGCGATTCGATCATCATCCACAACATGATAGAACAAACGATTGCCAGCCGTAACCTCAACCGCCGAGAAGTATACACTGTCACATTTGAACAGATCCAACAGGGTGCCTTAAAATGAAGCCATAAAAACACTTGTTAAATTCTCGATTAAATCAAAACATTCAATACGGAGCTCAATGCGAAAAAGAACGAAACTTTAGCATAACTCACCGTGATATCCATTCAAAATTGCGTCGTATTGCCCGTTACGATTGTGCTCTCGAAAGTGTTGCAGAACACGTCGCACACTATCAACTCCGTTCATAACCGACTGAAATGTACGAATCACTAACCAAAACTAACAATCCTCATGCAATCGATTGAAGCTTCTGCGTGAAAAATCGATGAATACGCATTGCTTAATTAAAAATCCACAAAATAAGCAATAAAAGTCAAACCTTAGCGGTCATCTTCCGAAGATCTTGTTCGGCCTGTGCCACCTCCACTTTGATAGCCTCAACATTGTCACGAGCGCTTTTCTCATCACGAGCCGCCTCTCTGAAAACAATTCTCATATCATAACAAAAACAAATCATAATGTTAAGAATCACATCAGATTCTGAAAAACCATTCGAAAAACTTGATTCTTCAACGGAGAAGCTTCCGCTTAGAGTGTCAACTGAAACAACGCACTGTTGTCGGATAGCCGCTTGATCCAGCTGTCGACGTAAATCGGCCATTTTGTGATTGATGGTCGACATCTGATCAACGCACTCTTCGGCTCGAAGACCAAGTGCCTACAACAATTTACATTTCGTTACGAATACCAAAATTATTTTCTGCACAAGAATTGGGAAACTTTTGTTTAAGATATAGCAGAAGTGCGAAATCTAGAGAGCACTTCTCAGCATCACTGGATGAAAAAGCTTCACAAACCATAATCTGTTGATTGAGCTGTTCCTCCTCTTGCTCTTCATCGTGCAAACTCCGTTCAATTTCGCCGATCTGGTCTTCTGTATCGGCCAACTGCCGATCGTAGAAACGAATCTCCTTGTTCAGCACCTTCAATTATGATTCTTTTGTGATCACGAACCCAAAAAACACTTATAACATGTTCACTCGATTATATGTTACACTTTAACCCTTCAAATTGTCAACAAACTCGACCAGAAAAATGACAATATTAACAGTGCCATGAGAGAGTCGTCCACAGAAGTTCTAACTCCCCATATCATTTCTCTTATGAACGATTCTTTGCTACAAGTCCACTCCAATCCACAAACGAAATAATACCGATAAGGCAAATTCGACGAAATGTTAGAAAATATGTCAATCTACACACAAAAAAATTCAAATCAGCGATTAAACTTTAAAAGAAACCAAAAATCGATTCTTAAACACACCTTATCACGCTCTTCGACTGTTTTGTATTGGTCTTTATGGCCTTGCTTCGCGTACAACTCTTTGCATCGCTGTTCCGAAATTCGAATGCTAAACAACACACCATTGTCATCATATTTCAAATAAGATTCTTAAAACAAGCAATCAAATTCCACAAGATATAGGTGAAAACGAACATTCGGAAGGAATAAATATTCAAAATCAGTTAAGAAATCGCTCACTCAGTGCTAAGTTTTGCAGCATCTTCGACGAGCGCGTTATATTTTGGTGCAATATCGTTCAGCTCCTCTTCTTTTGCTTGGATATCCGCTTTCAGTTTATTCAGCACATCTTCCGCTTTATCCTAAACAATCGCTTTCTCTTCAACAAACCAACTAATCAAAAAAATATTTCGAGCGATATAATCAAAAACCTTCGAAATTTTTTGAAGATCACATTCATCATATTCATCGACAACAATTTACGAAAACTGTGTAAATCCTGCAGAAATCATGCCACTCTCTTATGAGTGTTTCATCATCAATATTGAACGAATCAAAAAAAAATTTTCATGAAACCTACTCTTCCCGACCGTTCTTTTTCAACATCTTCACGTAGATCCTTGATACGAAGTTCGAGTTCAGTTTTCTTTTGGAATCGCTCGGTCTGTTCACCGAGCAACGCCTCCTTCTCTTCGCGCATTCCCTTGAAACGGGCCTCGAGTTTGCGCTGCTCAGCTTGCGCTTTCAATGAGCTATTTTGTGCATTCAGCAGGTCATTGGTCACCTTAAATTCCTTCATTAACCCTCAATCCATTAAGCTTATGATAACTCTAATTTTCAGACATTTGAAACAATAAGAAATCCACTCTTTTCAATCGCTTCTTTACTCATGTCAACCAATCCATCATAAAAACTGGATGTCCTACCTTGCTTTGTCTTGTGTTCAGCTCTTCTCGTTGTTCAGCTAGTTTATCCAGCTTTTTACGAGCCTCCTTCACTTCATTATCGTATATCGTATACTCAATTGATCTGAAAACGAACAAATCATTAAGCTAAAACTTAAATACTAATCCATTTCAAACATGGTTCCATCGTTATACTTGATCTGGCCAACTCTGCGCATGGAAAAAATCCCCTTGAGATAAACTCATCAAATAATCATGATCAGAACCTTTTCATTTTATCCCATTTTTGATACTCCTTTAGATCTTCTTTCTCTTCTTCCAAAGTCTTCAAACGTTCCTCGATATAGGCCAACAACGCTTCAATTTTCTCGCTCTTCGCACCTAAAAATACAACTTTTAAATGCAATCCATCAAAAATTTTGAGGTCACTTACTGACAATCCCCTTAAAATTATTTTATGCTCCTGAAATTACAACCGAACAACTGACTATATGAACACTGATGGAAGCAGTATCATCAATCCAACACTATACTATTTCGTCAAAACAATCAAAAATTATCGCAAACGGATTACAATTTTCAACTAAGATATTTTTAAAAATTTTTTTTCAGATAACACTATCAAAAACGAGAAAAATTACAATAACAAAACGACGTACTCGTTTCACGAAGAATCTTTAAACTTTCCTCTTTGCGTTCATCATAGACACGAGTGCCAGCTACCTGTAAGGAGAATCAAGTTTCACATAATTCGATCATGATTTTCGACAAAATGAATTCACTCAAATGAACACGAAGCACCAGGAGTGATAACAACATCAATAGTGCATATTAGATCAGACAAGTAATAATATTCGACATTCTGAATCAAACGAAATTCGAGAAATCGCATCAAGCACGAATCGTTCACCAACCTCTCTGAGCAATTTGAGTCGGTGTGAGTCTGGCGAGGTTGCCAATTCATTGATTTTTCCTTGCTTCACGATATAATAAGGATTCGAGCGCGAGAAGCCAGCAGACTCCATCAGGTTAACCACCTGAATGTTTACAATTCATTTAGATTTTATATTATACTATCACAGCTAAGTTCTGATGCTGTCATATTTCATAAAAACAATTGAGAATTTTTGTAATTCAAGATGGAATTTACAACTTCAGTCGACACGGATCGTAATTATTTGAATTATCTTTAAGGCTGATTCAAAAGTTACGAGAAGGAACACCCCAATGCCATCATCCAATGAAAAGAAATAATCAAATCAGAGCAAGGAATGATACTTAATATCAAAGAAACTCACATCACTCCTTGAGACGATTTTTGAATCGATAAAATATTGATCCTTCTTGAAGCTGACTTGACGTCCCACACGTACCTCGTTGGCATCCACCTAAATATAACTCATGAGATAATAAATCCTTCTTTATACAATTTGTCATTCTGCAGCAGATTTCGTTACTGATACTGACATAAAAAGGATATATTTTTATGGTGATTACGGCATCAGTGATACGGATTACAATCGACGTGAAGCAACCAAACGAATGACATTGAAAATTTCAATACATTCCTTGAAAAATGTTTCTGAACAAAGCATTTCCAATGTCTTTTCCAATCTAGTCTTTCCTACTGAGGATAACTGATAACGAAAATTGTTCGAATCAACAAAAACGAAAGTATTACCGCGACAATTCGTCTATCCATATTATCGAAAACGATCTCAACTCGGGCGGTTGAAACTTTTTCACCGGTTCCCTCATGAATGAGTCCTTGTCGATGATCTGAGCGCAAATGACTGAATTCGTCCGAAAGTACAAATTGAATCGCTGCAAAACAAGGTACACATTAAGCTGAACAACCGGAATTTGATTATGGCAATGATTACATGTACTATTTACTGCGATATCACTCTTCAACTTATTACGATAAGTATCTCACAAAGGTTACAAAAGCGTTGAAAATCTATGAAATCACGAAATAAAGATCGTCATTCGAATATAAAACGATGGAATTTGATATCATTTTGGATAAAACTGATTAATTTAAGAACCATAATGAACAAATTATTGGATAACAAGTATAAAACTCATAAGATCAATAGAATAAATCACTGAAATAATGCAATTAAATTAACCTAAGAAGAAATTACTCTTCCCACTTCCATTACGCCCGACAACAACGTTGTGTCTAGGTGAGAAATCATCCACTATTGTTTCCAAATAACTACGAAATCCCGTTATGTGCACCTGAAGTGAATCGCAATCACAGTTAAATCATTCAAAATTCTCTTGAAAAAATTTGATCAATTGAACATATGTAAGCGCAAAAACATCCGTTCTTTAGACAGTTTGATGATAAACATATCATGCTGGAAATGTTCCGCCTAATCCCTAATAAAAACAAAACAAATTCTAAAGGATTTAATCAAAGAC